AGGAAAAATGCCAAACATGCACTGGTTAGTGTCACTCAAATGAGTGAGGATTTGCTGTTGTTCTCTGTGAATTAAATACATTTGGCTTTTGGAGTCTTTGTTAGTCAAACAAAACAAGTAATTTCCATTTTTCCTTTTGTGACATTTTAAAGACTAAATGGTTAACTGATCAATCAAAACAAAAATCAAGACAGTAATTTATAATGGAAAGAGTTGTGAGACAATGCCAGAGGTTGTGACAGGTCATCAATCAGTTTGTTGCTTGTAGCTGTCATCTTGTATTAAATCCATCAAGTTTATAACAAAAAACGGCCAAACAGCAAAACAGAGTAGCAGCCACTGTAATGCAGTATGTTCTCTCTGCACATTCCTCTCTAACATCAGACATTTAACAGTATGCTTTAAGAAAAATTAATTACTGTATATTGCAAGTGCACATGGCTTCATCCACCTCCTCCTGGTAGACTTCTGGAGGCTTAAGGGGAAGTTGCAGAGACAGTAATGTTATGTAATTCCTCTTTCAGCAAGCTTACAAAGCTCTCATGTTTTACCAAAAGAGGAAAAAAAAAGAGGTTTTCACTTCTTTTTCTGTGAAGATTTCCTTGTAAAGTAACACTGAACTGTGGCTAAAAATTAACAGCCAAATATTTAATTAGTCAGTCACGAGAAAGTAAATCTGCTGCTTTTTTGATAATTAATTAATTAATTGTGTAACATTTAAAATGATCTATTGACAGAAATGCAATATAATATTAAAGTATTAAACACAGGTGATTATACACTAATAATCACCTGAAAATGAGAATCCTTGTGTTTTTGTTAGAATGAGCTGTTTATATTTACAAAGGAAGCATGTCCTTTTCTTGTGAAGGCCGTCATGTTTAACCACCATGTTTCTACAGTAGCCCTGAATGGACACTTCACAGCCTGTCCTCATTCCCAGGATGTCATATACGGACATGTGCAGTGTTCAGTTAGTTGTAAACTGCAACTTCCCCTCTAGATGCCACTAAATCCTACAAACTGATCCTTTAAGTCATTTTTCTTACGATAATACCTATAGTTCATGTTTCTTAATACCAAGAATGTGCTGCTTTTCTTTGTCTAATGTTATAGTGTAGGTTTTTGTCTCTTGGTTGGACAATAAAAGCAATTTCAAGATGGGCTTCAGGAAATTGTGATGGGCAGTTTTTACAATTTTATAAACCAAATTAACTGAGGAAATAATCTGCTGATGAATTGATAATTAACTGTTACAGCCCTACACTGAACCCAGCTGCCTGTCCACTGGGCCCAAGAACGTTTGGAGAAATCTATGTAGATGATGTGTTTGCTTTAGTTCCGTTTGTTTGGACAAGTAAGATTAATGCCATTCAAACCTCCCTGAGACGTCTGAAAATGAAGACTCTGTTGTTCTCCATGAGAACTGCTGGACAGCCGATAGAGAGGAAACGACCCCAGAGTGCTCCAGTTTATGGAGACAGATGGAGACGTCTGATAGTCAGCAGCTCCGCATGCATAGAACTAAATTAACTAAAGGAAACAGTAATCTGGACTGATGCCCATAATCAGCTGTTTCTCCATGTACGGTAGCCTTAACCAGCATGAATAAAGAACAATTTCAGGAAAGAATGAGTAACTAAAGTTTAAACAGCTGTTTTTAAAACAATTTTCTATCCCTTATCTTCAACAAGGCCCAATTTACCAAACCAAATACCAAACTTGATGGTTCCGACCAGACAAATACACTGTATGAGTGAATGTGTCAGATCCTCAAATGCTGAAGGCTGTATTCGGTAAGTGACAGTATATTTTGCTTCATAAAGGATGTCGACCTTCCTCCGCAGCATAACAGGAAGCCACATTTCATAATTCCACTGCTTGAATCTCGGCTGTCGGTTCAACTCTCGTGTTTTTTCTTCTTTGATTGAGCGCATTAAGCAGAACATCTCTAAAAGGGTATTAGCTGTCGTGTTTGGCACAGCGGTTAGGTCAACATCTGCCTGCTTATGCACCTTTTTTATGACTCTGTGTGTGTGTGTGTGTGTGTGTGTGTGTGTGTGTGTGTGTGTGTGTGTGTGTGTGTGTGTGTGTGTGTGTTAGAGAGGAAGCCTACCTCTGCCTTTAAGCGAGAGAGATACTATCGTTGACAGAACCTCCGGCTGTTTTTGAAAATAGATGCTCTCATGTGATAATACATTTCTGGGAGACATTTTAATGATGATAAATCTAACCATGCTTTCTCATTACAAAACCACTGCCATATATGATTGCTGCTCCACATGAGCGATACAACCTCACAGGCCACAAATGTGGTCACCATGGAAACGGAAACTTTGATTCGCAAAACTCAAAACTGAGTCTTGTTGCCGGAATGGTGTGCGCCTCAATAAACAACACCATTGGAGCTATTTTTGGCTCTGGCAGCGCGCCAGATCAAATGCAGACTCTGGAGTGTTCATCATGTGCATCTCATCTAACAAAGTAGGAAAACATACGGCAGAGTATGAATAGTAATAAATTGCTTTTTATAGAGGAAAGTTCCTGGTGGTGGTGAGCTGGGTGAACACAGCTGTGAGGCTCAAGATGAGTATTTAACACTCTGGCCGCTTCATGAAACAACTGGAAGTGGCTCACCTGAAGAGGTCAGAACCATAGAAACTAGGATATGTCCATTTGATGCTGCTTTGTGTTAGTTAACAGCATCCTTCACTGATCTTTAATTACCCAGCACACACGTCAGCCTGTTCAGTTTGCATACTCGTTGGTTACTAAGGAATGTTTTTGTGTATTGGACTTTGAAAAACAGAAGCACTCAAGCTCATTGGAGTGTCACAAATTAAATCTCTATCACTCAGGCCTTAGTCAGTTCTTTGTCTGACCTCTTCCTTTAAATTAGAACTACTGTTTATTTGCTTGCTATTCTAACTTGGCAACAGTCACTGCTGGCCTGGTGTAGTCATTACATCATCTCCTGATTGCAGTCATTTGAGCTGAACAAGATCACTTTTCTCAGAACTTGATTAAGTAGTTAATGGGCTCACAGTAATTAAAATTCCTTTTAGTTTATGCTTCCCAAGTAAAAATTTATACGGTCTAGTGGTCGACTATTCTAGGTTTTTCAATGGCTGATGCCGATATTAGAGAGCAGGGCTGTCGATAGCTGATATATAATGTTGATATAAAAAAAAGTCATGTATATATATATATAATATATGCTATTCTAATTTATAAGAAATTCAGACATATGTTTACAGCAGGATGCATGAGTAATAGTACAGGGCTTGAAACTTTTCACCAAATTCCCAAAACTCAGAGTTAACATTGTTCCACGGCAGCTACACTGACAAGGCTTCCTGCAGATGTGTCTGCATTTTTTGTTCATCCGCCTGGTGACACAAAGGTTAATTGGTCTATCACTAATACAGTCCCACACATGTGCATAAGTTAGAGGTTTCAGAGCCTCTTGTCATACCGAGGACAAAATAAGAATAAACTATATGTAAAACCTTTGTTATGTCAGATTTTTTCAACGTCTAAAAAAGCTTTTCTAACGAGGTTCAGCACAAAAAACAAATGCTTAATTGCATATTATCTTTTGCTGAACTTATCAATATTGGTATATCAACAATGGTTAAATGACTATGTGTATTGTGAGGGGAGTTGCTCGTAGTGATCAACCCACAGATTATTATCACCTGATTGTGCATTTCCCCTGAGCTCGATGGAGTGGTGCAGTATGTAACATTTAGGAGGATGTATTGGCAGAAATAGAGTATAATATTCATAACTATATCTTCATTAGTGTATAATCACCTGAATATAGGAATCCTTATGCTTTCATTACCTTAGAATGATTTGTTTGTATCTACAGACGCCACAGAATCGCCATGTTTCTACAGTAGCCAAACACTGGCTCTGTATAGGGATGTTTGCGTTTTTCGTGCAGATTACGGCCACCATAGCTTCTCCTTTGTGCTTGGAAGGGGAGGGTAAGGCGAGTGAGCTGCAATGTGCCAATACACTGATAGATGCCTCTAAAAACACACTGTACACTACCTGCTCAGCACCAAACAGCAGACCGACACATTCAGCAACTAGCTGGTGAACATAGAGGCACATTTAGCTGCTAATGAGCCAGATATTTCCCTCAGGAGGTGGTAGAGACCAAAACAGACAATGAATATGAGAGAGGTGGCCCAAAACATATTCAGCTTTAATGCATACATTAACAGGAGGTAGAACACAACACGAAGCTAAAGCTTTATGGTTGTGTCGGCCATGGCAATAAAGATGCCATTTTTCACACAAACGGATGACATGAGGGAATGTTGCGTCTTGAGCTGTCAAATTGTGCTTCATAACTGGCTCCTCTTCACGTCTGATCTCTAAATAGAAGACTAACGTCACAGTTACGGAAGAGATTACATGTGTGATCGCACCCAAAATGTCATTTTCTGTTACTCACATTTTAAATAGTTTCCTGTGATCATCTATAATCACAGCAAGTAGGTTAAAACAAAGAAAATCTGTCCATGTGTGGCAGGTAATGTTTTTATTTCCTCTTGCGAAAGTACAGTATCATCCTTTCTGACTCATAATTGCACCTGTATTAATATAGCATCACCAGTAGAGCAGCTGCAGGCTATTTTCATGGCTACGATTTTAAATCTTCACAGTACTGATTCAATCCAGTGAAATTCAGACTTCAAAATTCAAAAACTGCTCTAAAAAATATATATAATATAAAATACATCCAATCTCTTCAGACCTTACTCAAAGTAAAGTCTTTATTCTTGTGTCAATTGCAGTTTTGACATTTTGACCCAAGGTTATTAAATTTAAAAATGAGACTGACCCTGAGTTGGTCCTCTGGTTCCTCAGTTTGCAGCTCTGAGACCTTCTCGGGGTCACATCGTGAGCATCACATATGAATGAAAGGTAATCAGAGTGGTATAGCTTTGGCTGTAATGTTTCACACGTCTTCTCTCTCCTCGCAGATCTGCACTCCTGACCTGGTGGTGTTCCTGGCCTGCACCAACCACCGTTTGAAGGAAAGGCTGCAGAAACGAGCCGAGCAGCAGGGACGACCGGACGACAACCCCAAGGCCATCGACCGCCGCCTGACCAACTTCAAACAAAACACCATTCCTCTGGTCAAATATTTCCAGGAGAGGGGCCTTATTGTTACGGTAAGGGGTGTGGAATCGTGTGTGTGTGTGTGTGCAGTATTAGCGCTATTATTATATTCATATTGAATATTCTGCAGTGCATGATTTAAATTCAATGGAAAGTGCCAACACAGGAAGTAGCGTGTTTGTTATGTAACGAGACAGGAAGTAAGGGTGTGTGTGTTTACGTCAGTGGATGAGTGAATCAGTCTTACGGTAAACACTAACAAACTAGAACAAGTAACACAAACGTTAGCAAGTTAGTAAGTATGTCAACAATATTGCAGAGCAAACAAATTATTTGCGAACAAAGGCAGTGTAATTTGAGCTGTGAGTGAGTAACATCAGTCATCAGTAGGTTTAACATGCTTTAAATGAGTAGGTCATGTGTAAACAATACTGTGCAAGGTCTATAAAGGACTAGGTCTACACATTAGAGGTCCAGTGTTTAAGATTTAGGAGGCTTTATTTGCAGAATATGGCAGAAATGGAATATAATATTCATAGGTATGTTTTCATTAGTGTATAATGACCTGAACATATTGGTTGTGTTGTTGTTTTGTCTTCCACAAAGTCTACCATGTTGAATTGTCATGTTTCTACAGTAGCTTTATAAGATATAAGTTTTAAGTTAAAAAATGTGAATTATAGACTGATATTGATACTGCAGGCAGAGTGGGGATGAATGGTACTTTTGAGATATAAACTGGTAATTGTAGTTACATGAACATGCATCAGTGTCGCTGTTGTTTTTAAACATAAGCTTCACCTTTTCAGAACCTTATTTAGTAACCTTAACCATAAATTAATGGTTTTTATGCCATTACTGCATTCTTTCCCTACCCTTAACCATACTTAAATAATTTACCATTCTCAGATATTAAGTAATTCAGTTTGGCAATAGTGCATCCTGGTAGCCTGGGGCATTTGTTGGATCATACCCCTCTCTCACCCGTTGTTTCATATCTGTCTCAACAGTATCAACTGACCAGTAAAAGTGAAATTCAATCTGAAAATCTGTCAAAAATACTGGCAGTCAGTGATGATAATCTGCAGTTTTGTCGAATCGTTCAGTATTAACAGTCTGTTTGGTTTGCTTGTATGCATAGTAATCACAATAAAATAACCAAAGTGTTATTCCTAATTCCAGAAGGAGTACACAGACAAAGTCAAGCTTCTTCTGGTTGTTTGGGAGGTGAAACGCAGACTGTTGCTGCTGGAATAGAGACACAAGTGTTAATTGGAGACCACTGGGATCTACATTAGATTGTGTGGTTTGGTGCAGAGGGGCATTGAGTTACCATTGGCATGTGTGAGGCAGGTGCTAATAGAGCTATTGGCTCCTGCAGCCAACAGGAAACGGCTGCCCACTCTTCCAGTGGGAGTCTTATTGATCTGTCTGAGTCTCAGCGCAGCATCGTCTTCCTAACAGCAGAAGTAATACTGAATAACTCCTCCACCGTGTCACTGTGGAAAGAGATTCTGTTTGCATACTTTTAGATTGTTGTCTGGGGGGCATCTTAAAATCAAATGCTCGGAAAAATCTCCAGTGGCTTTCATGTTAATGCTAGAAAGAAGTAAATGCAATCTGACGCCCTCCAGAAGTCAGAGCCTGTAGTTTATGTGTCAGTGCTCTCTCCCTGTCTTTAGCCTTCTGTGGCTGATGCTGTAAGAGTAAAAGTGAAAACGGCTTAACGACAATGACTCTTAACCACCCTTGGACTCCAGACGAATTGGAATTAAATCTGTGCCTGTATTTTTATTACAAAAGAAAGCATAATTTCTCCTGTGTGATATCTTTGGTAACACTTTATAATGAGTACACACTATTAAGCATTAGTTAAGCATGAATAAATACTGAATTCATCATTTATAACGCATGAATACACATTAGTATGTAGTTTATAAACACAGTTAAAAATGTTTTATTTATCATTGATAAGCAGATTAGTTATGGATTAGTAAATACTGAATTGATCATTTATAAAGCATGACTCTGCTGTAAATAGTCATTACTATGTGGTTTATAATCACAGTTATAAATGTTTTACTCTTCATTGTACTGTACATTTCTGCATGCACTTGCACATCCACTATTCAGACATGTATTAATGATTAGTGACTGTGTAAGCAGATGTTCTATAAAACTCACAACAAATTCATTTTCTAATGATGGCCTATAAACAGTTATTAATGCAGGAATTCACAGTTACAAAGCACTTACTACTCATTAATTAAGTATTTTGCACAAGCTTATCTAAAGTGAGCACTATCTATGGCTTATTAAGGATTTACAAATGAGATATAAAGGCTGACAATGCCTCGAGACTCACAAATTGTTCAGTTATCTTAACAGACGAAGGAGAGACACAACACAAAGGGATATAGAACATATTGTATTGATATTTACTGCAACTTCCCAACATATTGTATGAAGACGAACAAGGGTGGTTTATGAAGACATGCTATTGTTGTGATCTTATCTGTTTGGGACGTGTACGTTGAGCTCCCACTCTCAGCACGTCATCAACGTGATGACGTGCTGAGAGCGGGATGTTACGTCATATTTACGTTAACTCTCAGAAGTTTCTGACAGTGCAGCCAAGACGAGCATGGAGAAGCACATTGGAGTCGGCGGCCGTCAGCGGCTCTAGAGGAGAGTATGTGTCTTTGTTTGGTAGCACACATTATGGTTGAAAGATAACGTTAGCTTGTCACTAACGTTACCGACCCGCCCGCTGCTAGGCACTCACCTCGCCCGGCTAGACGAGACTAGGCTAGGTCGGCTTAGCCACCGCGGGCGGGTCGGTAACGTTAGTAACGTTAGTAACGTCAGTCGTTAGTGACAAGTGACAAGCTAACGTTATCTTTGAACCATAATGTGTGCTACCAAACAAAGACACATACTCTCCTCTAGAGCCGCTGACGGCCGCCGACTCCAATGTGCTTCTCCATGCTCGTCTTGGCTGCACTGTCAGAAACTTCTGAGAGTTAACGTAAATATGACGTAACATCCCGCTCTCAGCACGTCATCACGTTGATGACGTGTTGAGAGCGGGAGCTCAACGTACACGTCCCAAACAGATAAGATCACAACAATAGCATGTCTTCATAAACCACCCTTGTTCGTCTCCATACAATATGTTGGGAAGTTGCAGTAAATATCAATACAATATGTTCTATATCCCTTTGTGTTGTGTCTCTCCTTCGTCTGTTAAGATAACTGAACAATTTGTGAGTCTCGAGGCATTGTCAGCCTTTATATCTCATTTGTAAATCCTTAATAAGCCATAGATAGTGCTCACTTTAGATAAGCTTGTGCAAAATACTTAATTAATGAGTAGTAAGTGCTTTGTAACTGTGAATTCCTGCATTAATCACTGTTTATAGGCCATCATTAGAAAATGAATTTGTTGTGAGTTTTATAGAACATCTGCTTACACAGTCACTAATCATTAATACATGTCTGAATAGTGGATGTGCAAGTGCATGCAGAAATGTACAGTACAATGAAGAGTAAAACATTTATAACTGTGATTATAAACCACATAGTAATGACTATTTACAGCAGAATCATGCTTTATAAATGATGAATTCAGTATTTACTAATCCATAACTAATGTGCTTATCAATGATGAATAAAACATTTTTAACTGTGTTTATAAACTACATACTAATGTGTATTCATGTGTTATAAATGATGAATTCAGTATTTATTCATGCTTAACTAATGCTTAATAGTGTGTACTCATTATAAAGTGTTACCATATCTTTTCCAATTTATTTTGGAATATTGTCTTTTCATATTCTACTTATTGCATTCTCGTCTGGCTCCCTAGCGTCCATACTTTGTTATTTCTTTCACAGTTCATGAATCTTGCTTCTGTTATATGTTATATATTTGCTATGTTTTTTCTGTTGTACATTCATTCGTCCATTCATCTATTTTTAAGATTTCCAGCATGCACAATATACAGAGTATAATTTGTACTCTTCTTTACTGGTACTTCTGATTATACAGTTTCTGAGTTAAATCATAATGTTGCCATTTTAAGCAAAGTTCTTGTGTGTTCAGACAACATTAGTAAATATTTTATTATAGATTATTAGACTTTGATATTCTCAATTAAGGAATTCATTGTTTAGTCCATAAAATGCCAGAAAAAAGCCTGAGATGCTGTCTCCAAATGTCTTGCCTTGTATGAGGAACAGTCCAAAATCCCAAGAAATTCAGTTTACTATAAACTAAATATGAACTAAGAAAAGCAGAAAATAATTCCCATTTTAGAGTCTGAAACCAGGGAAAAATTATATGTTGATATTATTATGTAATTAGAAAAAATATTGATGAATAGAAACACCTCCAAACAAAACAAAACTGGTGAGAAAAGTGAAGAGCGTCCACCATCAACAGTGTTAAACATTATTTATCAGTTTCTTGGCTGTTAACAGAAATGTATTTATTTCCCTGAGAGGAAGTTATCAAGGTTAAATTTAGTAATTTTCACAGTTAATTTGTTTGTTAGTGAAAGCCATGTCCCCACAGACATTTCACAGTACAATCATTGTAACATAGATATCTATATTCATGCTCTAGTCAATGGATTTCCTGTAAGATCTCTGGTTGGTATATGATAATAGTTGAGCATATTCCTCTGGAGCCGACTTGTCTAACTCACTCCAAGACTGCTAATTTTAACAAAATGTGGAAACCTGGAGTTTTTATATGAAGTTTAAGAGATGCTAAGGCCCAACTATGGTGGTTGCTGTGATAACTGAACCAAAATGTTGATGTAGATGAGGCTGTAGAAAATATATTTATTTATTTATTTGTATTTCTTTTGTTCCATGGAAAATTTAAAAAATCAAGCACAAACAGACAAAAAAGAAAAGCTTGAGATGAAAAATAAACTTAACTGAAAGTGCTTTTCCAAACAAAGATTACAAAGCGCCTCACAACACAAAAACAAAGAGATAGGAAAACAATAAAAGGAAGAAAATATGACAAGCAGCTAAAATAG